CACTAGTTCTGGTGAAGTCCAATCTGGTGAAACCTGTGTACTCTTGTGAAGTCGATGGGAAGTATCAAAAGTGCAAAATGCCCCCCCCCCACCCGTCGCCGAACTGCTCCGGAGACAACACAAATCTGATAAAACGCTGCATCTGAGACGGTAGCGGACGCTGGATAAGAATGACTCACAGGCGCGCTTTCAAGAACATATTACTGCCAGTCAATGATACAAGTATACATCAGGATTGTTACCCCGCTATAAACCCCCATTTTTCCAGGTCTAGTCAAAGCAAAAAGCTCTCCACTTATTAGTACTCGAAAGCAAGGTGTTCCACCGAGCGCCTGACCGCCATTCGTATCTAGTGCCGCTCACCTGCGCTCATTAAACAACCCTACTCAAAAGACTGAAAGGTAACGACGCAGGAATACCGATGAAGTTCCAAAAGAAACTTGACCGAACACAATAAAACAATAAAATGATTCCGTAGCATCACAAAAAAACATGAGTTACTGTAAGCCCGTAGTTCAACGCGTAAAGCTCTCTGTAAAGGCCCCTTAAGCAAGTATACTATTTAAAGGAACTTCTGACTGGTTCCTGACGCAAAACGAGAGCTGAGGTTCCCAGCACGTTCTCTCACTTCTTCAAGTGACATCTTCTTGCCACCACCTCCCATATCCTTTTCACGGTCGAATGGCACTCTTTCCTCGGTAGCAGAAGGATTCTGTAAGCAAGGAATTGTACTGTAAAACGATGAACATATAAACTCCCCATCTGAACATAGAAGAGGGACGTTACCTGAGGTTTGGCGTTTTTCTCTGCCTTTAGATGTGCATCAACGAGAGATTCATCGCGGCCTTTCTGGAAACAAAAGGTAGGCTTCCCCAAATCAAAATAAGGATACTGCAACAGTACTGTTCCGCTTTTCAGCAAAAATTGACTCACGTTGTAGTAGAGCGGTTCAGGCCAATCTATATTCATTTTCATCGCGGAGCGTGCCAGGCTTGCAGAAACGTCCGCCTCAATAGCCAGCTGCCTGCGTTCCTTGAAACAATAGGATAGTTATTCAGAATCAGATTCGCATATGATTGCTTTGCCGAACTGGTGTAGTGACCAATTATGCGATTCTGGTATATGGTAATTTGACTCATCTACGTGAATGAGATAAAGAGAAAAAAGTAGTGGTTAAAAACGATTTCTCTAGTAAGAGCCTAACAGTAGGTGTCCCTCAGTTTCACATGGCTAGAACTTGAGGGCAGCTTCTAACTTGAGATGGCGCGTCTCTTCTGGCTGTAGCGGAAGCCACGAGGGAAATATTAGCATGATCTCGGCGACTGCGAAGATGGAGGCAAGCCCGCCTGACTGCGGATAACTCGGGTCATTTTACCGACGAATTTGTGCGGCGAAAAAGGATTGCATGAGGTGCCGTAGTCGATAGTGCGGCGAGTTCCGTCAGAACTGCCGGATCGATATCATCTTACCAAATCGTCGGATCGCCAAATCTCCGCAATCGTTAGTAACCGGCGTCGATCGATACCCATCCACTCCCTTGGCGCGCAATCGCTAGCGACTAACAACGAGTCACCCAAGTCGCCGGGCCACTTCAATTTCCGCAGCCGACAGATCGATACCTACACCGTCCTCGTCGCGCAGTCACTCAAATCGCCCAGTCTCCTAAATCAATCTCCCGAATCGCAAAGTATGAACGCGGCCCAAGTTTCATCCACGAAAATGGGAAAACCTTCCAGATCGCTGATCGTGTTACTTATACAAGAAAAGATTCCACCTATCTGACAAGCGTGTTTTAGAAAATGAAAGCCATATATAAAAGTAACCTCATGCGGCAAGGTAAAGCACTGGCCATATACGAATCGAGGACGAAGGAAGAAACTGGCGTTTTATGAAAACAAGATCCATTTACTGCGACTTACTTCACGCCCACATGGTCTCTTGGCTTGTGGACAATCTTCCCACGTCTTGTCCAACTCTGCCGTCGCCGAACTTCCACGCTTGAACTGACGAGCTCCAAGACCAATGTTAGCCACCTTATCCGGCACTTTCAACATCCAATCTTCACGTTTTGGTTTGTTCTGAAAATGATGGGCTAGACGCTGGTGCAACAAAACTATCAGCCAACTCAAGGATTGATCTCTAAGTACCGAATCCTCTTTTTTCTCCATCCGCATTCTCAAAAGTGCATATTCTTCAGCGGCAGCTTCAGCCGCTTCGTTCGAAATGGGCATCGGGCCAACGGGTTCATCGGTCTCCATGGTTTCATCTTCTTTTGGTGGCATAGGGCCAAAGCACTCCTCTTCCTCTTCTTCAATATCGTTCTAAAAGCAAAAAAGTTTGGTGATCACCTGCTATTGAAAAATCCCTTCATCACATAATAGTGACATTAGATTCCCGAGACATCAGATTCCAAGACTCGTTTCTGGTAAATCGCATAGATTTTTAGACATTAGAGATTCCAAGCATTAGATTCCCGAGACATCGCTCGGGCTAATGCCGTTTGGACGCACGCAGTTTTGGCAGCGAGCTCACTGATAAAGTGCCAAGATCACCAAATCTGCTGAAAACTT